TCAATGCATAGTAAAGCAGAGGAAACGCTGTTCCCTGCTGTTCTCCGGAGCCCTGTGGGGGTTTACGTGAGTTAAATCTTAATATTCTCCGTAACAGAACATGGGCTTTTTATGATAAAAGGGACGGGCTGACTGCAGCGACTGCCTCCCCAGCGAGGGGGACCCCAGGAGGGAAGCGCAGCCCAGAAGAGCGAGCACACAGCCTCACAACAAAGTCATTGCCGTCCACCCAGAAGGGCAGGAAAGGTGTGGATCAGCATGAAAGGGAATTCTTACTTTAACCCATCTTTTTCTGATCACCTGAAAGATGAGCACACATGACCCCAAAACTGCAGGCAGAATTAGTTATCTACCAAACGTGTTGCACATGCTGGTATAACTGAGCCTCCAAGTCTCAGTACTTCAGATACACCCACCAGAAAACTGGGTTTTATTTCTGTTAAGAATTGAGCATTTAACCCCAGGAGACCAAACATTAAAAGACAGTGCTTTATGAAAGCACGATTTCATTAATTGCCCAACTCCAGCTTTGCCATAAACCAGGACATTCTGGGACATGTTGTTCTCGGAAACCTTGCCTGGCAGGCTTACAAATTTTATTAATGGTTATTTAACTCTCAACTACTCTTTTTCATCATTTACTCCCCAGGCTCTGTTGTCTTAAAATTAAGGGGGAGCTCTCCAATGCAGGAGTTTCCTAGGCCTGAGCTCCCAGGATTTAAACAAATGGAAACGAGAAACGCAGAAGGCATTAGTGGATGAACTGCGATAAAGAGTAATAGAATCACAGAATCACTCAGGTTGGAAAAGCCCTTTAAGATCATCAAGCCCAACCGTTCCCCTACCCCTGCCATCCCACCCCCAACCCCTGGCCCTCAGCACCGCCTCTGCCCGGCTGTTAAATCCCCCCAGGGCTGGGGACTCGACCCCTTCCCTGGGCAGCCCCTTCCAGTGCCTGACAGCCCCAAGGGGAAGGAATTGTTCCCCATGCCCAACCTCACCCTGCCCTGGCACAACTTGAGGCCGGTGCCCCTCGTCCCATCGCCCCTTCCCTGGGAGCAGAGCCCGACCCCCCCGGCTCCCCCCTCCTCTCAGGCACTTGGAGGCAGCGATGAGGGCTCCCCTCAGCCTCCTCTGCTCCAGGCTGAACCCCCCCAGCTCCCCCAGCCGCTCCCCAGCAGCCTGGGGCTCCAGACCCCTCCCCAGCTCCGCTGCCCTTCTCTGGACACGCTCCAGCCCCCCCAGGTCCTTTTCCGCCGGGCAGCTTTCCAGCCCCTCTGCCCCACGCCTGTAGCGCTGCGTGGGGTTGTTGGTGGGAGCACAGCCCACAGCTGGTCCTTCCAGGTGAAGAGCAGACGGTGAAGGCAACTTTCTCAGGTCATGGGTTTTTCATTTTCCATTCCCCTGGAAAAACAGGTCCTGGTGCGAGCCCTGCAGAAAGATCAATGCTGCGTAGTCTCTGGTACAGTGGTTGAGCACAAGGCCAGTGACAAAAGAGAACTTTTAAATGCCTGAAATACGTGACCCTGGTCCACAAAGTCCAAAGTTATGGGATCTTTATTTCTATAGGGTTTCTGCTCACCCTAACAAGCATGTGGATGTTACGGTTTAGCCAAGGAGCGCAACTACTTGGAAAGAGAAGCAATGGCTGGAACCACTGAGAAGTTAGGGCTCAGAGTCAGCAGAGAGCTGACTATCTGTTTTATGGGAAAGCAGTAAAACCAAAGCAACATCAAGAGCTACCAAAACCGAAGGAATACTTGCAATGACACAGTTAAAGTCCGGGGAGGACTGCTGCACTGTAAAGACTCGCTCAAAATAAGCACTCACTGGGGTGGGAATTCAGACTGCTCGGCATCTATGGAAACTGAGCTCTAAATATATCGTCTTTCAGCACAGGGATTCAAACAGATCTGACTACAAAAGGAAAACCAGTCCTTGAAATTCCGTTTCAAGAGTGGTGTCCTAAGGACAAGCTCAACTCATTCTTCTGCCAATGCCTGTATCAGACCAATTTCCAACACGAAGAGAGGCCAGTGAGATAACGCGAACATCAGAAGCACGCCGGGCAGGGCTGTGCAATTACCGGCACCATTATCGTACGTGTTGATCTGGGCAGAGGCGCACAGGCAATCAAAATCAAGCGATAGGTGCTGCGCTACATCATAGCCCAGGGACGAGGCTGCCGACGAGATGCATTCTGCTCCCGCGGTGAACAATTATCGTAACACATTTTCCCGGCTTGTTTGGCAAGTTAATGGGAGGCAGTTACACAGGCAGCCTAACAGGGTGCTGTAACGGCCACCGTGGCAGGAGCCATCGCCGCGTGGGGCAGGTTTCTCAAGTAACTAACCCGGCGAGGAATCCGTTCCCCAAAACAACACAGAAACCCTTGGTCTCCAGTAAGAAGCAACTTCCCAGAAGATAGCGGAGTAAGAATTTCATGTCTGTAATAAAACTCCGGTCTCTTCTTTCGCCGTGCACTGTCCTCTGGCAACGCTATGGTGGGAGAAGAGATTACAAACAAGCAGACAGCAGCACAACTGGGAGGTACAGGATTAAATTCCTGCTCGCCCAGGCCACCGAAAGCTCCCTAAAGTGATTAAATCGGGCGCTGCTACTGTGCGCATTCCTAAAATGCTCTTCTGTGACTGATGGAACTCCTTGCAGATCTCAATGCAAGAACCGTAGCTCTGATTTACAGAAAGAGATTCAAAGCAGAAAAACACCAGAAATGACAGCAGACAAATTGAAGAAATCAACCTAAGTAGAAGAGGAGCTACCACGAGCAAATAGTTAATGGACAGAAGACAGCATATAATAGTAGCTCTAATTAAATATTAATTTTTCTCACTTCACTCTGAGTGAATGCAGCTATCAGCGCTGGCACAGGCACTTTTGGGAAATAGCACAGTTAAAAAAGCAGCAAACAGAACAAATGACTTCAGATTATTTCAGCTGCTTCAATTTGCAGGCCCAGTATCTGAAAGGACCCCAGAAGAAATCAATCTTTTTTAGCCTGCTACATGAATGAATGGCCGGGAGGCCTATGACTAATGCCAGATCTGCTTCTACTCCACCCAGAACATTTGGCAATATCTAATAAATTGAGTGCATTCAAAGATTTTTTTTAACTCACAAAAATGTAACATTGACCAAATAATAAATTGAGTGCATTCAAAGATTTTTTTAACTCACAAAAATGTAACATTGACCAAAATCCCATTCCTGCATGCCCTTTGAAGAACTTTCAATCACAAGACGTTCCCCCAACCATAGTAACGAAGGCACATACCAAACGCTTTCAATCATTTCTGAGATGAAAGCGTGCAGAAATGTCCCTCGATCACAGCACTGAAGAGATGCTGCAGCAGAATTTCCTGTTCCCAAACTGAATTTCCAGCTATATCCCCACACAGAGTCACAGAAAGCTGTGGTTTTCCCTTAAAACCTGCATTTAGGCCTGCACGCCATAAAACAACAAGCAAGGGCATGGACGCACGCCACGGTGCGTGACGAAAGAGATGGATACTCAGACCGTGGCGTTCCCACCCCACGCCTTCTGCACCTATACAGAAAACGGGCAGCAGTTTGCACGACGGCTTATCTGACATCGCATCGGCACCCAGTACTCAATCGCACCCATTAACAAGCAGGCCCAAATGTTTTGTGGCCCCACTTGCAGAGATTCACAGGCTCCTGATCTGGTAAAAGCAAAGGAAATGCACGGCAAACAGTTCAGTGTAGGCGGTTCTCAATAAATCCATCATCTTCGATACTTACCCGAAACGATCAGCTCCTCCTTCAGAGGAGTTGCTATTACAGAGAAGGTACGCAGCCTGCTAAATGGGAAATAAAACGTGAAGATTCAGCTGCACATACACTAATTGGATAAACATCTTTCTGAATCCTGCAGTATTTTCTAATTGTAGGGATGGAGCAATTAAGATTTAATAATTAAGCCACCATCCCAGTGGATATACTTTAAGCCTGCCAGTTTTCTGGACTTGCACTCCCGTGGTACATGATCCAACCTGCAAAGAATTTTATTATTCTAAAATAAAGACAAACTCAAAATCAGATGGCTGGAAGGTTACAGGAGAATTGTGCAGCCTTAATCCCTGCTCGTGCTAAATTGTTTGAAACTCTGAGCTTACAGAATAACGCAGTTCTCCACAAAACCTGTGTGAATGCTTCTTGACAGCAGGA